TTTGATACATTAGTAATCATCCAGATATATACATACAGATGCAAAAAAAGTAACAGAATATGCACATAAACTAAAACTAAAATGAAAAAAATAAAAACAACAACTGATTTACAGAATGCAGGCGATCAATCTATCTGTAATTTCGAATCATCTGCAGCAATCTTTTCCAAATTTTAAGCTCAGTCAGAAAAAAAAAACAACAATTTTTCTGTCAGAAATTTTTTTCCTCTTTTCTTTCTTTTCACTTATAATTTTCGTATCTTTTTTGTACGTTTGATTTTTCAAAAATTTGAAATGAAAGTTATGTTTATAGGAAAGATATAGGATCTGCAGTTTCTAACTATCGTTCCCTTCTACTTGCAAAAAATTTATAATTTTCATACGTGATTATTCATTTCAAAATTCAGCTGTTCACATCTTCCATCTGCATACCTTTACACATTACAATACCATTTGACAGCACCCGAAACTGCAGCTAAAGCTAGAAAAAGAAGTGCTCTGTCATAAGGTATAATAACTGCAGGAAAACACCAAGGTAAAAATATTGTTGGACCAATGTATCGAGAACAATTCAAGCCAAATTTTCTTTCATTGATATTTTATTCAAGAGTGGGTTTTGTCGAATAAAACTGTAACTGAAGTGAGTAAATACAGTTATCAGCAGTTGGTATTCTTCAATTGAACTCAGCTGTTGTTTTGGTGCAGCTAAGATAATGTTATGCTTTTTATTGACTATGATTCTATTCAATTGCTGAGCAATATTTTTCTTTTTTATAATTTCTGGAGTGTTTAATGTAGAAAATAGCCATAATCATAATGAAAATTTGAATATTTTTTATGTTTACGTATGTACCAAACAATGGCAATGTTGCTGTTGTGCTTCTTTATTGACCGATAGAATAAAAAAGCAGGAGGCTCTCCAGATTTTTTTTGCTTTTTTTTTTTATAAAAAAATGAAATTAAAAGTTTGGTATCTTATTTTCTTTTTTTTTTTTTTGCCAGTCAAAAGTACAAGTTTTCCGAAATTTTAGATTAATTATTGAACGGTGAGTGTAATTTGATTCATAATGTTTTGATTTTTTACCCCATCTGTCTCTTTTCTCCTGTTCCTTACCACTCATTCATTTTGTGCTTCCACCACCACCCCAACGCTTTTCCCCTCCCCTCGTTTCCCATTCCCCCATTCCAATGGAGTTCACTGATGAGTACATCGAGTGCCGTTACACTTTTTCAGCCAAAATATTTAGGTTTATTTTCCAAAATGAATTGTTTAGTTTCTTAAGACAGTTTATATCAGTGTCATCAATTTCGTCATTGTTAGTAAAAAACCTGCCGTTTCCTGTACAGCTTTTATTGTAGCTTCTTTTGGTAAACCGTTTAGAAGGGAAACTAGAGGAAAACGTTAGCTCTATTGTCTTAAATAACTTCTAAAATTCAGCATCTGGAATTTAAACATTATCGGTTGCTTATGTAAAAGACAGAAACTAATGAACTTTTTTTTGATGCTTTTTTTTTTTTTACACTGTTCGTTTATTTGCAATGCTTCGTCTTTTTGTATTAATTATGACGATCTTAGTAAAGAAAAATTGCTGCTTTCTCAACTTCGAAGAAATCGTTTTTTTCGCTGTAAAAAACAGCCGTAAATTAAATTTTTTTTGATTTTTTTTTTTAATGTTGATAATTTTGTTGTTTCCTTGCCATTTAAATAATCGTACGATGGTTATGATGATAATTTTATTTAGAGTAACTAATAGTGCAAAAAACGCTGGATTGTTTTGATAATCATTCGGCTCTTTTCTGAAGAAACAGTTGATAGTGAGGAGATGTAAGAAATTGATGAACAAAAGTATTTGTCTTCTTCGACCAGAAATCTGTTTTAGTTTATGCGATTTTTAAATCATTCAATATGTCATAAAATAACGGTTTTCCGTATCGATATGTATCACCGACTGTTTATTTGCACCAAAAAAAGACTTTCAAAAGAAAATTTCTAAACTGAAACCGCTTTTTGTTACCTTTCACCGCCATAACAATTTAACAACACTTATTTTAGGCAAATTAACCAAATGATTAACCGCATAGCGGTAGTTTTTTTTTTTTTTTTTT